TTATGGAAGTGGATTCAAGGGCGAGCCGGTAAGTGAAATGGGATCAAGATGGAGTCACAAGTCTGGGGTTTACTTTCAAGGAGGAGAATGAACCACAGCGGCCTCTGGCAGCACCCAGGTAGAATGCTGCTGCCGGGGGAAGCAGGATCATTGCATGTGGAGTTACTTTCTTCTCTGTTGCACAATGTGCATTGAAGTTAATTCTAGACTTTTCCAAGCCCTGCCCAAAGCCCTCACACCCTTTCTAGTTGCTAAAACCTCCCTCACTAGAAATTTAAGTCTTCACCCACATCCAGCTTCAGATTACCCCCATACTTCTTTCTCTGCAGCAACCTCTTATAATTGGCTAACTTGATAATGAATAGTAAGGGTCTTTAACTTCCATATTTCATCAAATGTAAGATGACAGATGCAGCATTCTTTTATATACTACTGAAAAGTGCTCCAAATAAAATATACCATTGACTGTGAAATGCCTCCTGATTCAAAGCTGTGAAAATCTGAAAAGAGAAAGTGCTTCCTTAGAATCAAGTGAATAGAATACTATTACCTGGGCAGATGTCAAGGAAGAGGAAATCACAGGCCATTTCATAGCTGGAAATCTTGTATGTGAAAATTAACAACCTCAATAACAAAGCACAAAGGTTCTGCACCTTTCAATGATGTGGTTTTCCTCATTTCCAACACCATTCTTTATGTTTTGGATCTTAGAGGAATATTGCGAAGAAATATAAAAAATCAGGTAAAACATTAGCATAAACAAATTTGAAAGGTGACAAATAATTAGGACATCAGGAATATAATGTGTTCAGTTAAATATGTTTAAAGTATCCTCCAGACAAGGGAAATGAGTAGAGGATAATTTTACAAACAGGAACGAGGAAAAGCTTTAGCATCACTGCAATATTTGAACCAATAAATATTTCCCCTTTGTGTATTTGTGAACAGATTTTTGAATTTTGTGGTGCTGATGCTGAAAAATTGGAAGTGAAGATTCAACAACTAATGTAAGCTGATCACCAAGGCAAAATACACTTGCAACATTTCCAAAGACCACAGCAAATGTGTTTGTGTTTTTATTTCCAGCAAATACTTAATGTCATATCGTTCTCCTAATGTTAACAAGTTGAATTACATACTGCATTCTGACTGCAGAATGGCTTAAGACTCTTGTGATACCAGAGATTGTGTCATTCCCACTCTCTAACTTGGCCTTCCCACTTTTCTAAGGGCATCCCTTAGGCAATGACAAAGGCAAAGACTTTTATGACACTCACAACAGAGACAGGCCCTCCACAGCTAAGTAATACCAGGTCATCAAGAGGGTTTTCCAGAGAGCACTGAAGATGGAATCTTCGCAGTGATCAAGAAACAGATGAATTCCTTCTTGTTCTGTGGACTCCGACTATAAGGTGGCTTCTTCCCAGTGGAGCCATTGTTTGTGTACAAACATCTTCACTCCCCTATGACATTTCTAAAATTCTTGTAGAAATTAAAAAAACAGGGCCTCCCCGGTGGCGCAGCGGTTGAGCGCTGGGTTGCGAAGCTGCCCGCGGCCTCTGCGGCGCCGGTTCGATCCCCGGCTGCTCCCCGGCCACCAGAGGAGGGTCCCGCATGGCGTGCAGACCTCTCCTGCCGCCCGCTGCTCCCCTCAGCAGTGTACTTCGGTCCTTCTGCCTGCTCTGCTCCCCGCTCTGGCTCTGGTGAATTCTCTCACCCTCCCGCGCTTCTGACTGTACCCAGTGCATGTATAAACAAAACAAACAAACAAACCAGCAAACAAATAAATAAAGCATGCCTCTATAAAAAAAAAAAAAAAAAAAAAAAAAAAGAAATTAAAAAAACAAAATCCCATAAAAACAAAATCCAGAAAATCCTTTTAGTACATGTAATTTTGCTCTTTTTCTGTTCCTGTTCCTGTTTTCTCTAAAATAACTCTGACATTTACAGCCCAGAGAAGATGGCTTATTCTCATGCTAACCATGCCCATGCCGGGGATCTTCATTCAAAGAGCAGACAAAGCTTCCCCTAGCTATTAATGGCAAAGATTTGGCAAAACATAGAATCCATGTGTTTTACTAGAATGTTTTGGTATAAAGTAGCAGAAGCCAACAGATGCTAACTTAAGCAAAAAGGAATATCTATTAATTATTCAAGAAAATGTTTATTGGGTGCCTACTCTGAGCCAAGCACTGTTAATAGATACCTAAAATAAAATTTGGCTCGGAGACTCCAAAGGTAGATAGGAAGGCTTCACATGAGATTAGAAGCAATGACTGTTGACTGAGATCTTAAGAAAGAGGAAAAAGTTTATGGAATTTGCTGGTCTCAAAGTCAAACAGACTCAGACTTGAAGGTTACAAGAACATTTTGGTTCCAAGAAGTTTTGTTCCTTTAAAAAAAAAAAGTTAGGTACTTTTAGTGGTGCTCTGCTAATTTCCAGCCCAGACCCTCACCCCCAATGGGGCAGATGGAACTTTCATGGGGTGAGGAGGTTGCGCACTGTGTTTGAAGGTCTGATTGCTTGTCTGCCTTGACACAACATCAAGCCTGATATTTCTTTCCCTCCAGCCTGACCTCACCATGGAGTAAGGATGGAAGGTTCTAGGGCCCCTGTCCTACAAATCTTGAGCCTAGATGTGTAAGCTCACCAGGCAGGAGAGGGGAATAAGTGTTCCCTGCCCCTGACCTCACCAAAGCAAGAGCCCAAGGAGGCTGGAACTTCTGTCTTCTTCCCTCTGGTTTCCCAGACATGCAGCTACTGAGCCCTGGTGAGCCCCAGAGAGAGGCTGGGCCAGGCAAGATTGCCGTGCCAGGCATGGCAACCTAAAGCTAACCACCCTGGAGGGCCAGGCTGCTGGAAGGGCAATGAGTGTGGCCAGAGAGTAATGATGAAGCCCCTGGGCTACACCAGCACTGGACTAGTACAGGTGAGTGAATATACCTGTCACCCCAGCAAAGTACTTCCCCATCCCCAGAGTAATATGTGCAAGTTTGAGAAATGCCAGTCGAGGGCACGTGGATACTGAAGCCAACTTACCCAGGTGACTATTCCTCTGCAAAGAGCAGCCTTGGAAATGTCTTTAGAGAGGGGCAGGGTGGAGATGAATTCCATGCCCAGCGTCTGGTGCTTTACACTCTGCAGCACGTATTAGAGCAGGCAGCTATTTAGTTTCCTTCACTATTATTTCAGACCTGCCTTCCATTTAAATGATAAGAAAGGATATGCTTTAGAGCCCAAGAGACTTTCCTGGAAACCAAAGTCTTCGTCTCACTTTCAGCAGCCAAGATCCCCACATCATTTCTCTTGCTTAAGGAAAGGGTACATGCTTTTATAATGGCCTTTCTATGGGGAGAGAAAAAGAAAGCCAGAAGTCACAATTTTTGTCCTGTTGTCTGATGATGAGTTGTACTTTTTTGCCAACGCACTATGTACCTATCAGGCACAAATAGTATTTTCCATCTGAGACATGACCCAATAATGGTTCATAAGATGTAATTAATTAAGTAGGTCAGCATTTTCTTTTAAAAATCAGTGTATTTACTGTAGTAATAGGTATAGTTCATGAAACTCATTGATTTATATGTATATGGTCACATGTAAAATATATTTCTTACCATGGGTTCTAGTGAGTCTAAACTGAAAATCATCACCACAAATTTTCATCTTTATCAGGGATGACCAAGGACTGGCGTTTTCAAGGTGAGGTTCTGGCACCAACTGGAAGCTTCAGCACCAACTGGAAACTTAGAAATTCACATTCTCAGCCCCACCCCACCAACTCCAGCTACCCTGAATCAGAAGCTGGGTGGGGTTGGGGTGTGAATGGAAGAATCCAGATGATTCTGATGCTCATTTTAAAAGACCACTGATAAAATATTTAAAAGACTGATGACAAATATCAGTGAGACAAAGAGTAACAACAACAACAACAACAAAAAAAAACAAATAGAACCCTTTAATCAACAATGAGGCTTCCAAATCCCCCACACTATCTCATTTGATGCTCCTGCATCCCTATGAGATGGGGACCACTGTTCTCATTGTACAGAGCCTGGAGGTCAGAGAGACAAAGCATCTTGCCTGAGATCACACAGCTAGTAAATGGCCAAGCCCAGATGTAGACCCAGGGGTACTAGACAAAATAAAAAACTGATGAACTAATATGAAAAAATTTTCTCAAAGCAAAAGTCGACTGCCATGATCAATCCTTCTGGTATCATCCTCCACCTACTATGCTTGTGTCAAAGGAATTTATCTTCCTGACACAGATGTTCCAGGAATGTTCCTGAAAGCCTATGTGTGACACCAATAATTATTAGGTGTTTCATGAGTGCTCAATATTTAAAAAAAAAATCTTGAGCCCTTTTTTAAAATCAAGTTTCAAAGGCAAATATTTGAGATTTTCATATGAGATACCCTTTGTTAATCTATTAATATTCTTACATTGTTGTTCATTAAGGTACATGATTTCTACCATCAGATGTAGTCCCTATAGTTCTCCCACCAACATATTAGACCCCATGACCCATCACCTCAGTCCCTTGTGCTCTTCCTGCCACTGTTTTGACCTATCTCTTTTCCCTCCCCTGCTGTATGACAAAGACCTGTAGATAAAAAAGTTGTGGTACATATACACAATGGAATACGACATAAGGGTCAAAAAAGAAAAACTCATGACATTTGCTGCAACATGGGTGGAGCTGGAAGAGGTTACACTAAGTGAAATAAGTCAGGAGAAAAAATAAATATTGGATGGTGTCACTTAATGTGTGAAATATAGAGAAACTGAACAAAAGGTCAAGAAAAAACTTGCAAATGAGGTATCCTTTTAGAGGAAGCACTCATTTGAATTTCTCATCAGGGCTTTTAAGACAAGAAATCTGTGAGTAGATGAGAGTGAGAGGTCAGAGGGCAATCAAGGAAATTTTAAGCAGTATACTGCATTTCTGGGAAGAGACTATTCTCTTGGTAAACTTTACTCATTCTCCTAAAATAGGGATTGTTCTCCAGAAAACAACTCCATCAACACAGAAAAGGCCTCAGGTGAGAATATAGTCTCAATGGTATTAAGTCTTGGGGGTGTTCAGCATGAACAACTCTACTTGGGATCTGTTTCTTTTTTTACCCATGTTTAAAACCAAACTCTTGTGTGTGATGCAGTTTTTCCTGTATATACATACCTATGGTAACCTTTCATTAATAAATTAGGCAAAGTAAGAGAGTAGCAATCACCAGTAGCAAAATAGAACAATTATAACAATATGCTAAAACAAAAGTTGTTTGAGTGTGCTCTCTCTCCCTCTCTTTCTCTCTCACTGTGTCATGGTGGTCTTCCCTTAGCCATAGGTTCACTTCCTGTTGTTTAAATTGTGTCAGCGGAGTTAAAAAAAATATGAGTGAAGAGTATTAATACTGCATTCCTCACACTACCACAAATCATTGTCTGAAATTACCTCCCTCAATAATAATGGTCAGTGGACCCATATTTTGTAAAGCACAATTTAGCCAAAGTCTAATTATATGGAAAAAAAATGAAGGGAAAAAGTATAGATTGACAGAATAAAATTGTGACTCATTCACCTTTCTGCCACAGCCCTTCAGGAATTGTTACAGGATACAGTACATCTGCTTGGGGAGGAACACTCACAAGGTGGGAGCAGGCGCCATCTTCCCTACTCCCACACAGCCAACATCTCAGGTACCTGGATTATGACTCCCAGCATGCAGTGAACAGGAGGGGCTGCTGGGAAGGAGGAAGGAGCGAGGCAGCCATTGCGTGGGAAATGGGAAGACATGTGAGCCGGCTGTGTCTGGGCTTTGCTCCTTGCACCTTTAATGTATTGGCAGGAAGGCTCTTCAGAGACAACGACAGCCAGTATCTTGGCCTTCTGGTGGCTCTGGCGTGTACGGCGCATTGGGAACATTTTGACTCCTCTTGCCAAGCCCACTGGGCCCTGCCTAACCTTCCTACCAGGCAGTGCTTTGGAATCCTGGCAACTTTGCTTGAGGGCCTCAGTCATGGCAGTCTGGGCCCCACCCATTTGGCTGGACTTTTGCCCATGAGGGGATGGGTGATTTCAGAGTTTGACTTGGAAGTACTTGAAATCCACCCCCCGCGACACACACACACACACACTTCTCTGTTAAAAATCTTCTAGCACACTAGAATCTCTCCTTCGTACATTCAGGTGGCATGGACTCTTAAAACAGCTCGCTGTCCCTGGGCACCTTTCCTTTTTGCCCTCTATCAGCTTTGACTCCAGAAATGAGCCTCCCTATAACACTTCTGACCTTCATGTTCATTTCTGACTTCCTCCCATCATCAGTACACCCCAGGCATTATTTTCATATGATGCTTTTCCCTGCATCTGGAATTTCCTCCCTCCCTCTCTGCCTGTCAAATCTATCTCAAGATCACCCAGCAAAAGTATCATTCCTTCAGGTTCACACAGCCATGGGAAGTCTCCATTAGCCATCACAGATAGGGAAAGGTAATCCTTCCCTTATGTGTATAAATTTGTGTGCAAATGCATCAGAGCTGCCATCAATTATTATGTTTGCCTGTGGTTGCCAGATAAAACACATGGTGCCTAGACAAATTTGAATTTCAGATAAATGAAGGATTTTTTTGTGTGTGTAAGAATATCTCATGCAATATATAACTGGGTAGCCTGTGTTTTTTATTTACTACATCTGGGAATTGTATAGCAATCCCCAATGAGACTCACTTTCCTAAAGAGAAAGACTGTGTCCATCTTTCCACATGCAGTACCCAGGACAGTTTATAGGTACTTAGTAGAGGCTTGGTAACTATTGGTTGAATGAATGATTGCATGAATGACTCCTCATGCAGGGAACTCTAGGATTTCAACTGACCTCAGGAATACATTTCTATTTCTACCTAGAATTGCAGGTTTAAAGAAGAAAAGGTAATATGATCAAATTGAATGCATTCCGAATGTATAAACTGTACCTATAGAAAAGAGCAAAGCTATCTACATTTTTCTCCATCTTAAATGACTATAATAACAAGTCACATACTATACGGTTTCTATTTACTTTGCAAGTCTGTAATCTGCTCCCACACAAATCACATTATAAGGATGAGAACTTAGTAGACTGAGTCCAAAGCCAGGCAGAATAATTAGCAGCAGCAACCAGGAATGAATCTACTCCATGTTGGGGCCAGTTCTGTCTCTTAATCAGGGGGCAATTAATCACCATGTTTTGCTTTAAAGTTTTGCTGTGAGGACACTGTGCAGTCACAGAAGAATCACAAGCTCTCCAATCAGGCAGACCTGGTTTGCAGTTATGACTCAGCAGCTCCTGGGTCAGAGCCCTCTCTGGAGCTCAGTTTTCTCATCTACAAACCAGGTTACAATGTTACCTTCAAAAAGTTGATGTATTAAATGGCATCATGTACATAAAGTGTTTCCTATGTTGCAACCAGATTATAATCTCTTGAAAACATGAACTGCTTTATTTTTCACTCCTTTTCTATCCCCATCCACCTCTAGACAATATGTGTTAAAGAGTAGTTACAGAATAGACATCTCAGCAAACTGAAGATTTTAAAATATTCAGTGTTTTCTGTTTTTCATAAAGTCGACAATATTTAACCACAGTAGGGTAGGGTGCAATCAGCAATTAACCTTTGTATAAGACTAATGGACTAGACAGTGTCTTTCATAAATCATTGATAGACTACGCTTGGGCACATAAACACTAGAAAAATAAAGTAGGAGCCGCCACCTCCTTAAAATAGAGAAAATCAGTTTGGGCATAAAAACTGCTCTTCTCACATTTCCCACCAAGACATTCTATTTGAATATATGCTTGAATCACAGACACCCACCATTGGAAACACACCTCCATAGGGATGGTGATGGTACCTTTCTTGTGAACTGCTCAAGAAAATAGTTCAGAGTGATTGATAATTACTCTCAGCAAATGAACAATCAGCATACAGGAGCCAATCTCCAGGCTTAGCCCTATTCACTCCTAGCCTAATTTGACTACAGCTGTCATTAAATTTGTATTTCCACATTAAAATACCTTGAATTAAACCTAGAAAAGTCCTCATTGACATCATTTTACTTCCATACCCCACATCTTCTTGGTACTCTCTATTTTTGGACAATTTATTTTAGCAGTGATAATTTTTCCACACGTACAATTAGAAAGTTGGAACCTTTCACCATCTCTAAGCTCCTGTTCAGCCTTGTATGCTTAAGATCCCATTCCTCTGTTGCCACTGTGTCTCTTTTAATTAAGTCAGTGTCCCTATTGGTAAATCTATGTCTATAGGAGACTATATTGACCAAATTGTCTTTTATTTTCTCCGATCAGTTTAGTATTCATTTCTTAGTCAACTTAAATGGGTACTCGAACAATACAATTTAGAAGGATCCAAAAATTGAGGTTTAGCCTTTCTTAACCAGAAGGTCACTGATACCTTCTTTCACAAACTTTAGGGACTGGAAAACACCTAATGCCCAGAAAACATTTATTGTTGATTATGTCATTGCTTTTACTGCTGTTATCACTGCACTGGGGGAAATTGATATAAAGGACTTACTCTATCCTTGTCTAAACCCTTGATTAGATCTGGGAATGTCATCCACCCACAGAGCAAGCTAAGACAGAAGAGGGGAGAGGAACACAAACTAGGGAAGAGTCGTCATGGCCTGAATCGGTCTATATACCTCCCTTAGGTTACCCCCTCCCTGCCCACCATCCCTCCCCCCCCCCACCCGCTCCATGTGTGGATTCCATCAGAAACCAGATCTGCCACACACAGAAAGAAATGGCTTTGTGCCCGTGGCGGGTGTGGCTTCTGACAGCACCTGATTGCCCTATTCACAGAACAGCTAGGAGATAGCACTTGGGCATTGGGTGACTGAGTCTACTCAAGGAATATTGCTGAGGGTTTTGCAAGTCATGCCATAACACAATGATTATTCTTCTAGAGAGCAGCTAGTTCTTACTTTGTGGGTGCTGTGGGCCATGAGGCTAAGCAAGATTCCTATAGTGAATGCTGCGGTGTCCCCCAGGTCCCTGCACCAAATTGAAACCCTCCAACTAGTTATTGTGACTATTGACTAATAACATCTCCCAGATGCACCACTTCTGAGAATATTATAGTCTGTTGGGAGCTCTTTGCTCAGAAGGTTATGATCTCTCAAAAGGCAGCCCATAGTCAATGACCAACTAATTTGGGGGCACAAAAGGTCCCTTGCCTCAAGGGTATAAAAACATGATGGAGTGAAGCTTCAGAACACACTTCCTTTGGATCAGCAGAGACTAGAGTTGAACTAAGATCGTCCATGCCTCTGTCTTTTCCCTCTTTTGCTTTACATCCTTCTTACAGGCTGTTCAATGAGCTGCATAAACCCCAATATTTGCCTGAGCCTCCACATCTAGAAACTTGACTCTTACACTCTCTACTTGATTGAACTGAGACACTACACACTAGTTAGTTATCAATAAAAGAGAAAAGATACTGACAATATGTGACATTCCTTTAGACATCCTAATTTTAGTGAAAAAAATACATTTTGAATTCATTAAATGTGCTATATTTAATGTACATGATCTTAGCACACTGCATGCATATTTCCATGCCACATGTTTACATATAAGAAAATAAACTTTGTTTATTATCCTACAGAGTTCCCAAGCCCCATCGATGTGAGGATACCACAAGAAGTCTGTGACCCAGAAGAATCCCAGTCCTTGATCTTGGACTTCCAGCTTCCAGAACTGTGAGAAATAAACTGCTGTTTACAAAACACACTTGATCATATTTTGTTATAGCAGTCCCAATGAACTGAGATAACCATATCTAAAGTTGTTTTAAGTAACCCTGACTCATGTGTATTTCAGTGCATTTTAACCAGAGCAGGAGAAGAACAGTTTTGAATAGCAAGGGAAATAATTGTACCTTATATATGGATAGCTGCTTATCAAGAATTTTCAGGAAATTGATTCCTGTCCAGAGAGAGTAAATCAGCCTTTAGAACAGTCTCAGATTTACTGAAATAGAGTTAGAACTAGGAAACGATAAATGGGACAATTAAACTTTGGCAAAAATATCATTACTTTCATGATGAAGACAAATCCTTAACATGGCCCTGGTCCCTGATCTTGGGGACCAGGTCTAAGATCAGGGACAAAGACCATGATCTGGTCCAAGATCAGGGACCTGTAGGGCCATGCTTGATCTTACCAGCCTATTTCCCTACCTTCATCTTGTATCACTCAGACCCCTACCTACCTACCTATACACACACACACACACACACACACACACACACACACACACAGAGAGACGTACACATGCCCATGCATGCCATCCTGGCTTCTCTCCAATATGGGAAGGTGCTAACCTTTTCTCATCACATGCTATTTCCTCTTTCTAAGGTGCTCCTTCCTCTACTTTCTTTGCCTATTTTACCTTTACCTCAAAGGACTCTTCTTCCAGGAAGCCTTCCTTGATTTTCCACATTATGAAAGGACTCCTCATTTTATATTTTAAAAGTTTGTATCCCTCTCATTCCTGTTACTACACATTTGCAACTTTAAACTTATTCCTGTCATTGATGTAGAGACTCAGTCCCTTTATGAAACATATTCTCCGTGAGGGTAGCTCCAAGTTCTTGCTCCCCACTGGACTTGTCCCTGACATACGTTAATATGTGGCACAGACAAGGTACCTGATAAATCTTGCTTGGGTAAGTGAGTAAATCAGACTGCAATACCTTCTTCAACAGGGCATGAATACTGGGGAATATCATAGTACAACTGCTAGCTGAGAGTGTGGACTCAACCACACAATTCAGGGTAAAGTCCAGGTTCTGTCATATCCTAGCTGTGGGATTTGGGGCAAATTAAATCACATTCTTGTATTTCAGCTTCCTCATTTGTAAAGAGGGCCTAATGATTCAGTATTTTATTAAGCCCAAGATGCCCTTGATTACAAGACACATCACATCATAAAACACCAATTAAACTAGAGCAAAGTGTTTCCTTATCACTGAGACTTTTTTCCACACAAAACCATCCTCTGTTCTATCCAGAGGATTAGCCAAGCATCATTTCACAGAAAAGCACTTCAGTACGCACACCTCACCTGCTCAGGCCCTCTCTGAGAGTGATACTGCCATACCATTGGCACCCATTATGCAAGATCATCTTCCTGGTCGGTGCCAACAGAAAGATTCAGGCAAGAACCGGAAGACATTACAAATAACAAATAACACAGGCAGTATCAACAACGCTCGTAATTCTCCTCAATGCTGAGAACAGTAACAGCCATGCCCAACTATGATATTGTCAGATAATAACCCCATCACACACAACGGGACAGGCTTACAAGACACCTCAATTTTAGTTAAGACTAGTAGGTGTCAGGTTGTGAGAATTAAGTGTGTTAGAGTACATGAAGTGCAGTTTGTTCCTATAAATGCTGGGCACACAAGAACGAATATTTCCTATAGATATTATCGCCTGTGACGGGCAGCCTTCACCTCGGTGCCCACAGCTCTGGAAGGGCTGATGTTACAGGGCCTCACTGACTCAGCACAGCCCTCAGATGAAGCCACTCTTTCATTCATTACAGTGATAGGAGCAATCAGGGGCTCAGAGAAATACAAGCTTTTTCAATGGTCTGGAAATCACAACTCCCCGCAGAGAAGCCGTGAAGCGTCATCGTGAGGGCTGCGGTCTCCGTGTGCCTGCCCCTGCAGTACCCCCAAGTGCCCAGGACAGGACCTGGCACTCAGCAGGTACTCAGTGCATTTGGCTGAATGAATATGTGATCCAATGAGTTAAATATTTACTAGAGTTAATAATGGTGAGAAGAGAGAATTCACACCGTGGAGGCTATGACTCATAGCTGAGTCAAATGGGAAAAAGACTTCAGCCCTCTTGTCTCCCCTTTTCTATGACTGCCTTTAAAACACTCCAGTTTTATGGGGCAATTTTAATGGAAATAAACTTAATAAGCTAGTCATATAATTAATTACATTCAGTTTCCATTTTTAATTGCTTATTGATCCACTGCTGCTCCCGGAGCACCTGGCAACAGTGAAAGAAAAACAGTAGCAGGTGTTTGGGTTTAGCTCATGCTTGCTTCCTGATTAGCTGAGGATATTTTCGCCCTGAAAATTCTAGGAAGTTTGCACTTGGCTCAGAAATTGAAAATGGGGACCCAGGAGATTCAGCCAGTTCTGTTGATCTTTCTTGCTTATGGGCTGGAAGATATTCTGTCATTGAGAGCCTTTTGCGTATAATCTACTCTTATTCATTAGAAGTCTCAGGATTGTGACGATGGCAGATTTTACACAATGAATAAGGGCAGAGGCTGGAGTCAAACGGTCATGTTTGAATTGCAGCACTGCCATTTACTGTGTGGCCTTGAGTGTGTGACATATCTTTTCTGTGTGCCCATTACAAAATGGGGGTAATGTAAAATGGGGGTAATGATTCCATTTCTATCACCAGATTGTGGTGACGATTAAACAGAGCTTTGCACACATTGTTTTTAAAATAAATTTTTAAAAGGCACCTTAATTTTCAATTCTTTACTTCCCAACAAGGCTTTTATTAATAAATTGATTATATGGTAATAATTGATTATGTGATAGACGTTGTTTTAACAGGTTTCTAGCAGGCTTATATTCATACCTGCTTAGTAAAAATACAAATTGTAACTCAATAAAACTTGTAACTCCTAAAGAAAGACTCAGTTGTGTTGGAGAAATGTTTTGATAGAGAGTGTGAGTTTGGGTTTTGGCAGCAGGCAAGAGAAACTCACTGTGACTACTTTAAGCCAAGCCACCTGGAATGGCAGGGTGGCAGTGGTGGTGGGGAATTGAGATCCAAGACTTAGAAAGAACAGGAGTGAGATATTTCCAGGGGTCTCAGGAGCAGCATCCCATGGAGTGTCCCTTTAGGAACGACACCAGAGATTTTCCATCTTGTGTATCTCCCACATGGTAGGGAGCAGGTATGGTACCTGCATGTCTGACTCCCACAGGATGACAGGGATAGGGGGAGAGAGAGAGAGTTATCCAGGGGAAACAGGGTGTCGCTACCCAAAAATGTGGGAAGTGTTGCTAGGCAGGGCAACGCAGCAACTGTCTACTGCATAAATTAAGGAGAGGGTAAACATTTCTGAAATACTGTTTATGTTTGTACTGTAGGCCTTTCCAGAAAGTTCAGTGTTTCCCTCCCCAGAGGGTGCTCCCGGAGAGGCTGGCTCATCCTCCGGGCATTCATGCAAAAAGAGCAAGAATCTGGCAATAATCATAAGCTGCTTCTCTTCCTGGCCTAATGAAATGGATCTCTACTTGTTTGTGTTGCATTAATTTAAATACTAATTTTGCCTCACAAGTTCATAATAGCAATCATTTCTAGTTCAATCAAAACACATTATGTTAAACTTGGCAAATTCAACCAGATAAGCTAACAAAAGTGTCTTAAATATTCATGAACACTTTCTCCAGTTGGGTTGCCTTTGGCTGCAAGTACCAGAACACCCAACTTGACATTGCTTACACCAAATAAAAATGTATTGGTGAGCATAACTGAATGTCCAGATGTTGAACTGGCTTCAGGAGAATGAATCCACTGTTTCCAGCCCCATTTCTCTGCAATTTCTGTGTGGCTTTCTGCCTTTGTTTTCCCTGTAGGTTCTTCATCTTGGGCTGGAAGCAAGATGGCAGCCGAGTTATCAGGCTTCACAAGTACACAAAATAGTATTTGGAGCAAGATGAGCTCATTTCTAAAATGCAGACCTCAGAAATAAGGTAATATGCCCTTAAATCTTCCAGCCAACTTTTTTCTCTTCTTCTTGACCAGGTGGGTCACCAGCCCAATGCTGAAACCCACAACATGGCCAACAGGGTGCTATCTCCTGCCAGTTTAAATCTGGGTTCTTGAGCCAGTAGCTGACAAAGAGAATTATATTGTCACTCCTGGCCCCCAAGTCACAGACTACTAGGCACTGAGAAAGAGAAGAACATGCATTAAAGAGAAAATAAAGTATGTATCTTTTTAAATTTGAATTTAAGATAAAAAATTAATCTTAGTGTGATTTTTCAGGATAAGTCTGTTCCAAATATTGTGTGGCACATACATATGCTAAAAAGTGATGCATTGTTTATTTAAAATTCAAATGTAACTAGTATCCTGTATTTATCTGACAGCCTCAATCCAGGGGCCTCTGGTTTCCAGCAGCAGCAAAGGGTTTAGTGGCAATGGCAGGAGGCTCCTTCCCAGCTTGGGTCTGTGGCTTGTTTTTGTTGTGGTCCATGCTACCCTCCTCCCTTGCTTTCCTGCTCAGTTTCTAAGCCTAGTTCTGCATAACAGCTAGAAATTCTGTGCGACTAAATCGTATAGTATAGCCTTCAGCTACTTACAACTCTGAACCTTGATAATACCAGCCACCATTCACTACAAAAATTTGAACCTGTCATTCAGCATTGATATCCGCATTGAAAAACACAAAAGGGGAATGAACATTTTAAAAGCAAAAGTAGAATGCTTCTGCCTTCTAAAGGCTATCTTAGGAGAATAGAGCTGTTTGCAAGCTTTTTGCTGTTTGCTTTGTCAGTGGCTTATGGTATTTCATGAAATTTCTCCTACTTCAACTCAACTATAAAGCAAAGACAATTCTAGGAAATTAGATGACTTATGAAGTAAAGATTACAAAATTCTGGCATAGACAAAACCTTTCTGTTATTTGCATTTTTCCTTTCCTTCAGCTGATCCTGACTTATAAAACTAAACTGGATACATTTTATTTTTTTCTTGCCTAATTGCTCAGACAAAAACATCCAAAATAGTGTTGAATAAAAATGGGGAAAATGAGCATCCTTTTCTTGTTTCTGATCTTAGTGGAAAAGTTTTCAAGAGTTTCACCATTGAGTATAATGTTGGCTATGAGCTTGTCATAGATGGCCTTTACTATGTTGAGATATATTCCCGGTATGCCCATTTTGTGGAGAGTTTTTATCATAAATGCATGTTGCTTTTGTGTAATGTTTTATTTTTGGAATCTGTTGAAATGATCATATACATTTTATCCTTCATTCTGTTAATGGAGAGTAGCACACTGATTGATTTGCAGTGTTGAACTATCATTTGCATCCCTGGAATAAATCCCACTCGATCATTGCATGTGATAACATAGTAATTTTTCCCTTTTCTCCTTCCTTTAAATATCTTACTAATGGGGAACTTAGGCTTCCAATATATTATTTGACTATAGTTCATTTTGATGAGTATAGAAATGAAACTTTAATAGAAAACAAAATTGGTGATTTAAAACATAATTTAAATGTTATACCTCATACTTTCTTGCCAGAATACTTTCATTCAAGCCAAAGTTCCCTCATTATTTTGCATTTTGTATTTTCTAGTAAGCATTTTGAATTTTTTTATTTGGAAAGTGCTTTTCCAAACCATCAGTCATAAACTCATAAACACCTTTATGTGAATCAGCCATTCTAAGTGCTTTATTGAAGTAAAGATATCCTTTATGAGTGAAATGAACATGCCCTCACATGTGATAAAATTACTTACAATGATACTTTTCAAAAAATTTCTTGTGTCTTCAATTCCCATTTGCTGATAAAAAAATCTAATTCAAAAACGAATGCTTTTTCCCTGGGAAGAGAGTCATGAGAGAACATGTGCCTTACAAACATGTGCCAAATTACAGTGATAAACAAAAAGCAAAGGGCGATTAAACATAAAAATCCAATGATATAACCTCCCTGGTGGTGCAGGGCTTAAAGACACAGCACTTTCAAGCTGTTGTTAGCCACTGCAGTATGAGTTTGATCCCTGGCCACGGTGCAGCAGACCTCTTCTGTCTTGCCCATTGCTCCCATCAGCAGTGTATTTCAGTAGATCTACCTGTTCTGTTCCCCCTTGTATCTCTGGTGATTCCTCTCACCCCCCTGCATATCTGGCTTACACCCCAGTTCTTGTGTGTATAAATAAATAAATCTTTTAAAAAAAAATCTACTGATAATGTATACCTTGGCTAGTGACAACTTGACCATACCCTCAAAGTTGCCAGTCATTTTGAATGTACTTGTTGGACCATTTAATTATTTCATTGTAGCTGGGTGATTGCTAAATAGTTCAAGGTTTAGACATTCTGGGCAAACATGTATTTCAATTGAACTCTTACTTCTTTTATGTCTTAAGGCTTCAACCACATAAAACTCCTATGGGATCATTCTTCTTTTAAAGGTTAGTTGTTCATAGGCATAATTGTACATAGTTGGATTGTTAATAGAGTGCCACTGCCTGATTTGATATACCAATGCCCATGCAGATTATCATAAATATATACTTTCTGTTTGACTGGTAGTTACAGAGAAGCAAATTGTTCTCCCCACAATAGTCAGGGTGACTCTTAGCTCCAGACCACTAATCAGTAGCATTGGGTAAAGATCTTACCCACGTTCATTCACACCTTTATGAGAGACACACCTTTCCAAAATACAATTTCAGGAATGGACGCACCTGGCTTCTATTGGAAGGATTTTTATTTCTTTTTCTGTATAATTTACAAAACATAAGTGTTTGCATTGGATGGTTTGATGAAGGCAGAATAGATATCCCATTTTAATAGCTTATTGGTTTTAATATATTCACAAAGTTGTATTATAATTCCAGAACATTCTTAAGACCTCAAAAAGAAAACCCCATACTCCTAGTAATCACTCTCCCACCCCTCCTTCCCACAGCCTCTGGAAACCACTAATGTAGTTACTGACTTTATGGATTTGCCTATTCTGGACATTTCAGATAAATGAAATTACACAATAATTTTTACTGTCTAGCATCTTTTACTGTCTAGCATCTTTTACATAGCATGTTTTCAAGGTTCATCTATATTATGGCACTTATCACAACTTCATTCCATTTTATGGTCAAATAATATTCCATTATATACTTCATTATTTGTTCATCTGTTGATAGACATCTGTTGGGTGGCTTCTATGTTTTAGCTCTTAATAATAATGCTGCTATGAACATTCATGTGCAAGTTACAGTCTACATATGTTATCAACTTTGTTGGGCATATACCTATGAGTAGAATTACTAGGCCATATGGTAACTCTAGTTTGCCTATTGCTGATTGCCAAACCATTTTTTCACAACAGCTACAGTAATTTTCATTCCTACCAACAGTGTATAAGCACTCCCCATATCTTCACCAACTCTTGTTATTTTCTGCCCTTTATTATAGCCATCTTAGTGAGCATAAAATAATATCTCATTGTGATTTTGATTTGCATTTCCCTAATGATTAATGACATTGAACATATCCTCATGTGACTATTGGTCATTTGCATATCTCCTTTGGAGAAATATCTGTTCAAAAACTGAGCCCATTTTTTAAAATGAGTTGTCTTTTTTTTTTTACTATTACGTTATGTTGTGAGAGTTCTTGATGCACAAAACCAGAATATTATATAGATCTCTTTCCTTTTGTGACCATTGCTGAAGCATCAGCAGACAAAATGAGGCCAATCCCTTTGTGACTTTTGACCAGAGCAAAAACCAGAAAAAAGGCATTTCGATGCATCTTCCCACATTCCTAGGCAATTATGTCATCCCCAGTTCCCAAAGAACTGATACATGCTCATCCAGAGGTTAATAAAGTTCAGGTTGTTCAAGGACACTACAAAGGGCAACAAATTAGCAAAGTAGTCCAGGTTTACAGGAAGAAGTATGTCATAGAGCCTGAACAAGTGCAGCAGAAAACTGTCCCTGTGGGCATTCATCCTAGAACTAGACAAAGACCGCAAAAAGATTCTAGAATATAAAGTCAAATCTCACCATATTGGAAAGGAAAAATGTAAATATAAAGAAGAAAAATTTTAGAAAATGCAGGAATAAAGTTATATACAGTTTTCATTTAAAACTGCTAAAATGCAAAAAAGAGAATTCTTTATGTATTCTAGATGTAAGTCCCTTATCAAATATATCATTTACAGATATTTTCTCCCCCCGTATGGAAAGTTTTTTTCATTTTTTTGATGGTGTCCTTTGAGGCACACAGATTTTTAATTTTGAAGAAGTCTAATTTATGTTTTATTTGGGTGCTGGTTCTTCTGGTTTCACATCTAATCATTGCCTAATCCAAAGTCACCAAAGTTTATACTATGTTTTCTTATAAGAGTCTTAAAGTTTTAGCTCTTAACATTTAGGTCTTTGATCCCTTTTGAGTTAATTGTTATAAATGGTCTGAATTATGGGTCCCACTTCATTGCATTGCATGTAGATATCCAATTGTCTCAACACCATTTGTTGATGATACTATCCTCTCCCCATTGTATGGGCCTGCCCTATTGTTGAAAATCAGTTGACCATAGATTTATAGGTTTATTTCTGGACTCTCAATTCTACCCTGGATATGTAATGTCTGTCTTTATGGCATTACCAGACTGTTTTGATTATTGTAGCTTAATAGTAAGTTTTGAAATTAGGAAGTCTGAGTCTTACTTTGTTCTTTTTCAAGATTTTCTGACTGTTCTGTGTCTCTTACATTTATTTTTTTAATCTTTTTTTTTTTAAGATTTATTTATTTATTTATAGAAGCACTGGGTACAGTCAGAAGGGCAGGAGGGTGAGAGAATTCACCAGAGCCAGAGCGGGGAACAGAACAGGCATAATGACGAAATGCACTGCTGAGGGGAGCAGCCGGCACAGCAGGAAAGGTCTGTGCACCATGGGGGACCCTTGCCTGAGACTGGGGACCGAACCAGCGCTGCAGAGGCTGTGGGCAGCTTTGCAGCCCAGTGCTCAACCGCTGCGCCACCAGGGGAGGCCCTAATCTTTTTTTTTTAGGAAGTGGGGTACAGCCAGCATCGCAGATGGTGAGAAGATTCACCACAGAGAGTGGGGAGCAGAACAGGCAGATGTACTGAAATGCACTGCTGCAGGGAGCAGTGGGCAAGGCAGGAGAGGTCTCCTGAGCCATGTGGGTTGCTTCCCAGATGGCTAGGGATTGAACTCACACCGCAAAGGCCGCAGATAGCCTCACAGCGCTGCACTCAACCCCCTGTGCCACCAGGGAGGCCCTCTCTTACATTTCTATATACATTTTTAAGATGAACTTGTCAACAACAAGAATAAGCACCCAGGCTTTTGATGGGGACTTGGTGAGTCTATGGGTTTCATTTGGGAAGTACCCTAATAATATTTTTTCCCAATCCACAAAATGGACATTTTTCCATTTCTCAAACTTGCTAATTTCTTTCAATGATACTTTGCAGTTTTCACTGTATAAATTTTGGGCTTCCTTTGTTAATTTTTTAGCCAGATAGTTCATTTTTTTAATTTTGTATACTGAACTTATATCCTGCATCCTTGCTGAACTTACTAGTTCTTGTAGATTTTAGGAACCCTAGGATTTTCTATATCCAACATCATATCCTCTACAAATAGAGATGATTTTGCTTCTTCTTCTCCAAACTGGGTAGTATTTCTTTCTTCTTCTTGCCTAACTGCAGTACAATGTTGAGTAGGATTGGTGAGAGCTGACATCTTTTACAGGCTTTTAGGGTGTGAGAATTCTTGCCCCGCCTTTCTTAGCTACTGCTTTCTTAGTTGTGGATTATTCAGACTCTCCTTAGATGGTCCTTTATAAATAGTATACCAGGTTCAACTGACTTGTATTTTTCCCACAGTGGTTCTCCATGTTGCTGGATTTGGGGTAAATATGGCAGATTACCCAACTAGATTGTATGTGTTTAATATTTTATATCCTCTCTGCAGACTACAATAGCTATAAAAGGAATATCTTCTTTTACATGCTCTGTTTCTTTTATAATGCTTACAACTTATATGGCCTGCTAAAAGGTTTCCATTTATCCCATCTTGGTTATGTTATAAATGCATTTTAATGTCTTAAGGCTGGTTTCATGCCTAGAAAGAATAATTCAGAAATGACATTTTTCACTGTTTAAATCAACTATATTGGGATCATAGTTTATACCCATAAGAAATAAAAAGTACCATTTTTAGTGCATTGTTCCATGAATTGTGAATAATGCATAGATCTGTGTAACCTCCAAAAACTCTCCCTGTATTCTCTGCAATCTCTCCACCTCACTGTCAGGAAACCAATGATTTGCTTTCTATCGCAATTCATTACTCTTATCTATTCTAGAACTTCATATGAATGGATTCACACCATATAGTAGTATTTGTGTGTCAGCTTCTTATACTCAGCATAGCATTTTTAATATTCATCCATGTTATTGTGTTCTTGTTAAGCAGTTCATTTTTGTTGTTTCTAAGAAGCTTGCTATTATATGGATATACCACTTTTATTCTTAGCAGGAGTAGTAGGAGTCGTTCATGCATTGATGAACATTTGGGTTTAATTTGGGGGTATCATGATTAAAGTTGCTGCAAACATTTATATATAAGTCTTTTCTGTGAATATGTGTCTCCATTTCTTTTGGGTAGATACCTAAAAGTGGAATGTGCTGGGCCATATGATAAATGTATGTGTAATTTCATTTAAAAAAAAATTTAAAGTACCAAACTAACTGCCAAAGTGATTATGCAATTTTATACCTTTATCAGCATTCAAGTTATTGTCAGCTAATCTATAATTACGATGTTATCAATCTTTTACCGTTCTATTAACTCACTATGATTTTAATTTCACTTTCTGTGATGACTGCTATTTTTTCTGTTCATTTATTTGCTGGTCCTTCATGTATTTCCTTCTGGAAAGTGTGTGTTCAAATCTACTCCCATGTTTTGCCAGTCATTTGTCTTTTTATTGAGTTGTAAGAATTCCTTATACTCTCTAGAAGTGAACCTTAGGTATAGGTATTGAGCATATTTTCTCCCAAACTATGACTTGCCTTTTCACTTTATTTAAACAAAGGTTTTCAAAGAGCAGAGATTTTTAATTTTTAATTAAGGCAAATATATTAACTTTTTTTTTTACAGTTAATAATTTCTGTGTCCTGCCCAAGAAATATTTGCCTTTTCCAAGGTTGCAAAGATTATCTCCAACATCACCTTCTAGAGGGGTTGAATAATCTTGTTTTGTTGTATGATGTAAGGTAATGGTGAAGAATCTTTCTTTTCCTTTTTTTTTTTTTTTAATAGAGCTATCCATGGGATTTTTGAATGAGAGAGCCTGAAAGCAGTCCTAACATGCCTGGAAACTGCACATGAACAAAAGCTTCAGGTAAGGCAAAAGAAAGCATTTGAGAAATAAGAATATAATAGAGCTTGATAAATTCCAATGGTTCTAGTAGAGTGCATAACCAAGGTCTGAGAGGCCAGGAAGGAAGATGATCCCAGCACACTAGAGGATATAAAGGACAGTGGGGTACAGGTTAGGTATTCACAGTGGGTTTCAGGGTAGGTATTTACCAGGGTTATACTGACTGACATTTATATTAAAATGCTTAGCCTTGAACATGTTTATATGTCAATTAGTTTTTAAAACATAAACAGTTAATATTTGAAATACTCTAATCAGATGTCTACTCCTGGAGTGTTCAAATTAGCACTTGAAAATCCCCAAGTAGGAATTAAGGTTCAAGAAGAGTTTTTGCAAATTCAAATATTCAGGTTCATAAATTAGCATAAAGAAAGTTAGATATTTTTCACTGATGAACTGAGGGGTATTCAAGATATATCATATTCAAGCAGTGGATAGACTGCTTGAAAATTGTTCTCATCATTCTTCCCCTTTATGAACAGAACATGAGAATCAGTATATTTGGAGTGACAAGATAACTTCTTTGAACCTCTGTTTCCTGTTGTGTAAAATGGGGAGAATGATATCCTTGGGGATATTGAGAAGAATGATACAAAACATCCAGCTCCAGGCCTGGCACTTACTGATTATCCCACACATAGGTGCTTATTCTTTGATTTCCACCATCTTCTTGACCATTTTCATATTATTTCCTGTGTTCTCTGTGTCCTCATCTCTCATGCTAGACACAGTCATCTAGCTTAACAGTGCTGAACCTCCCTCTACAGATCCCAGGAAAAAGTCAATCAATCCTAAGTGTACCTAATCCCCTGGCATGCTTCTTTAAATTGCACATTTCCTTCTCTGGGTGTGGTCCAGGAACCTGCGGCATATTCAAGTTCCCCCAGCTATGCTGAATGAGGTGATTAAAGGCCATACTTAGAGAAGTCTGTGATCTGAGAACACCTTCAGAAACCTGGACCCAACAAAGGCAGCAGACCTACCCCCTGATGGAGCTCACCCCCGATGGAACCTCAGACTGAGCTGACTCAGAAACCAAACCCAGAAACCAGAAATCATTATGAAATTCATTTCTATTCTTCTTCTTACTTATTGGGAAAGAACTCTACTTATTGGGAAAGGACTCTCTACTCCCTCTTTCTCTGGTAACCAAGAGGATTTTCCCACTCCTAACTGAAAGATTCCAGTAATACTGATGCCCCATCTAACCCCCACCCAGCTTAGATCCATGAAGACCCACCTCTGGGACAATTACTAAGCAAAGGAAAGGAATGCTCCTTTAGGGGTACTAATTTGGTAGGAACCTTAGCCTGGCGCTGTCTGAGCTGTTCTTACTTAAGGTGGAGAGCCTGCTGAGAATGAAACAATAGAGATGGTGCCCTATGACATCTTTAGGGCTCAGGTGTTCCTGGTAATATGAGGTATTATTCTCCTTTTGGTTTAAGTCAGGAATTTTTTTTTTTTTTTAATAATAAATTTTATTGTTCTATTCCCCATACAATTGCAGCCCCCCCATTCTGACCCCAATCCCTCCCCTCCCGCCCCCACCCCCCTAAAAGTGTCTCTGGTTCATAGTTTTTTATTGATTTTGATTTTCACTTTCTTATACTTATTCGTTTTCCTGGTCCCTTATTTAAGTTTTCTAGATTCCTGCTATGAGTGAGACCATCCGGTATTTTTCTTTTTCTTTTTGGCTTATTTCGCTGAGCATGATCCCTTCCAGCGCCATCCATGTTGCTGCAAATTGCATGTGTTTATCTTTTTTGAATGCTGAGTAATATTCCATGGTATATATGGACCACATCTTCTTGATCCAGTCATCTATTTTTGGGCATTTGGGTTGTTTCCAAAGCTTAGCTATTGTAAACAGTGCTGCTATAAACATAGGGGTGCAGGTGTTCTTTGGAATTGATGTTTCTGTGTCCTTTGGGTAAATACCTAGGAGTGGAATTGCTGGATCATATGGAAGCTCTATGTTTAGTAGGTCCAGAAATCTCCACACAGCTTTCCACAGTGGTTAGACCAGTTTGCACTCCCACCAACAGTGTAGAAGAGTTCCTTTTTCTCCACACGCTCGCCAGCATTTGTTGTTGCTAGTTTTTTTAATATGTGCCATTCTCACTGGTGTAAGATGGTATCTCATGGTAGTTTTGATTTGCATTTCCCTGATGGCAAGTGATGTTGAACATTTTTTCATATGCCTGTTGGCCATTTGCATTTCCTCTTGAGAGAAGTTTCTTTTTAGCTCTTCTGCCCATTTTTTGACTGGATTATTTTCTTTGTTGTTGTTGAGTCTCATCAGCTCTTTGCAGATTTTTGTGATCAGTCCTTTATCATTAGTGTTGGGTGCAAAAATGTTCTCCCAGTTGGTGGGGTTTCTCTTTGTTTTTGTTATTGTCTCTTTTGCTGTGCAGAAGCTCTTTAATTTGATGTAGTCCCAGCTGTTTATCTTTGCCTTCACTATCACTGCTTTGGGTGATGTGTTTGTAAAGATGTCTTTGATGTGCAAATCACGTAGTGTTTCGCCTATATTTCCTTCTATATATTTTATGGTTTCAGGTCTTATGTCTAGTTCTTTAATCCATTTTGAGTTGATTTTTGTGTATGGTGTGAGGTAGTGGTCAAGCTTCATTCTTTTGCATGTAGCGACCCAGTTTTCCCAGCACCATTTATTGAACAAACTTTCTTTGCTCCAATGCATAGTCTTTGCTCCTTTGTCAAAGATTAGTTGACCATAAATCTGTGGGTTTATTTCTGGATTTTCTATTCGATTCCATTGGTCTGTATGTCTGTTCTTGTTCCAATACCATGCAGTTTTGATGATTATGGCTTTGTAGTATAGTTTGAAGTCTGGGAGTGTGATGCCTCCATTCCCTTCTTTTTTTTTCAGGAGAGCTTTGGCTATTCGGGGTTTTTTGTGATTCCATATGAATTTCATCAATAATTGTTCTATTTCTTTGAAGAATGACATTGAAATTTTGATTGGAATAGCGTTGAATCTGTATATTGCTTTTGGAAGGATGGCCATTTTAATAATGTTTATTCTTCCAATCCACGAGCAGGGGATGTCTCTCCATTTCTTTGTGTCTTCTTCTATTTCTTTTAACAGTGTTTTATAGTTTTCTTTGTATAGGTCCTTTACCTCTTTTGTTAGATTGATTCCCAAATATTTGATTTTTTTTGTTTTAATAACAAAAGGGATGGTTTTTTTGATTTCTTCTTCTTCAGATTTATTGTTTGTGTATAGGAAGGCTACTGACTTTTGCGTGTTGATTTTGTATCCTGCCACTTTACTGAACTGATTGATGAGTTGAATTAGCTTTTCTGTGGAGTTTTTGGGGTTCTCTATGTATAATATCATATCGTCTGCAAATAGTGATAGTTTGACTTCTTCTTTTCCTATTTGGATTCCTTGGATGTCTTTCTCTTGTCTTATTGCCCTGGCTAGGACTTCCAGTATTATATTGAAAAGCAGTGGTGAGAGTGGACATCCTTGTCTTGTTCCAGATCTTAATGGAATTGCTTTCAGCTTTTCACCATTGAGAATGATACTGGCTGTTGGCTTGTCATAGATGGCCTTTATGATGTTGAGGTATGTTCCTTGTATCCCAAGAATTTCAAGGGCTTTTATCATGAATGGGTGTTGCACTTTGTCGAAAGCTTTCTCAGCATCTATTGATATTATCATATGGTTTTTATATTTCTTTTTGTTGATGTGTTGGATAACGTTGATTGATTTTCGGATGTTAAACCATCCTTGTGCCCCTGGAATGAATCCAACTTGGTCGTGGTGAATTATCTTATGGATACATTGTTGGATTCTGATGGCTAAAATTTTATTGAGGATTTTTGCATCAGTGTTCATTAGGGAGATTGGCCTGTAGTTTTCCTTTTTTGTGTTGTCCTTGTTCGGTTTTGGTATTAGTGTAATCCAACTACACAGTGTCCCAACGCATACGGCAAATTAGAAAACAGACAGTAGGGAGGAGAAGAACCACACGCAACCTAGCAACTCTCCAGAGAAAAAGCACACCACAAAAAGAAAACCAGCCCTCAGATGGCAACGACAGTAACTTGGAAGAACTTCTGAGCCTTCCAGAAAGAGAATTTAAAATTGCCGTGATTAAAAAACTGACAGAAGTCATAAAGGAAAACAATGATAAGGGAAAAATAATCAACGATCAGAAGAATGAAATTGAGTCCCTAAAGAGGGAAGTAAAAGAAATGCAGGAGATCAAAGAATTAGTGGAAGAACTAAAGAATTCTGGGAAAAGCAATGAAAGCAGAATTGATGAAATGGAAGAACGAATAAGTGCTCTTGAAGACACAGAAATAAAAAGAACCAAAACAGAAAAGGAAAGAGAAGTACGAAGGAAAAAGAATGAAGAAAGACTTCGGGAACTATCTGACTCCATGAGGAAAGGAAATATAAGAGTTATAGGAATACCAGAAGGAGAGGAGAGAGAAGTAGGAACAGAGAAAATATTCAAAGAGATAATTGAAGAGAACTTCCCAAATGTGAAGAAGGAGCTGAAAATTGATATACAAGAAGCAAGAAGAACACCAAACTTCCACGACGAAAGAAAAAATACAGCAAGACACATAATAGTAAAGCTCCCAAGAATCCAGGACAAGGAAAAAATAATGAAGCTGGCAAGAGGGAAGAAACAGATAACATTCAAAGGAAAGCCAATCAGGCTGACATCAGACTTCTCCGAAGAAACACTACGGGCAAGGAGAGAGTGGAGGGACATAGTCAACAGACTCCAAGAAAACAGATGCCAACCAAGAATACTCTATCCCGCAAAGCTCTCCTTCCTCTTTGAAGAAAGAATATGGACCTTCCCAGACAAACAGAAACTCCGGAATTTCATTGCAACTAAACCCCCACTCCAAAAAATACTACAAGGAGTCCTAAAGCCAGAACCTCAGAGGGACGAATAACAATGAAAGAA